AGAGCACAGGCAGAGGGAGAGGGAGAAGCAGGTTCCCCATGGAGCAAAGAGCCCAATGCAGGGTTCGATCCCAGGACCCTGGGATCATGACCTGAGCCAAAGGCAGACACTTAACCAACTGAGCCACGCAGGTGCCCCTACTCTTAATGTTTAATATGCATAACATTGGAAATGATTAAATCAACAAGTATTTCACCCATTACTCTTAAGAGAATATATTTTTACATTAAAAATTCTGGAAAACATTTTTTCCAGTAATTCCCATATTACCTGAAATTTATTTAATAGTACCTACCCACTATTAGTTAAAATTCATAGTATATTAGAGTTAGAATGAAAATATTTTAGGATTTTCTCTTGATCACTAAAAGCAAATCAATGGAATTCCATTTCAATATGATATGATTATTAGAATTGCTTACAATAAATTCTGAAAACTTAAAATATTACCTGATTTTTACTTTCTTTTTAACTTGCATTCAGTTGAATGCCTTTTAAGATTTATTTATTTTGGAGAGAGAGAGAGAACAAGCCGGGAGAAGGGCAGAGGGAGAGAGCATATGGAGCAGACTCCCCACTGACACAAAGCCCATCCATCGTGGGCTAGATCTCACAGCCCTGAGTTCATAACCTGAGCCGAAATCAAGAGTCTGAGGCTTAACTGACGGAGCCACCCAGGCGCCCCTCAGTTGAATGGCTTTAATGTAATAGATTTTCATATGATTCTTAGAAAAGAATAATCTGATAAGAAAAAATTTTGTAAAATGAAAACAGAAATAAAATGGTTTATAATATCTATGATGTTCCAATTTCTACATAACCTTTATTTTTTGGTGTGTGTTGTATACATAAATTTATGAAATAATTGCTGTGTCAATAACCTGCAAATAGCAAATAATCAGACATCATTATTTAAGATTTGTTGTTACAACTGATAAAATCATTCCTTTCTTTTTTTTAAAGATTTGGAGTTTATTCATTCAAACCATCTGTTACTTGTATAAAACCTGAGTTCTACCTGTAATCTGTTATCAGGTATAAAATTGACTTCAGCAATTTCTTTTAAATGCCTACAGTTCCACAAAGCCTTGACATAACATATTTGTCCTTGGCCAGAAATACATACATTTTCCTAAAATTAATTTTTCATCACCAAGTTAATGACTTTTTGTGATAGCTTTATTATTTTCATTCTGATAAGTGATGTGATGATAGTCAAAAAGTTTAAGCATTAATCTTAATAATTAAAAAAATGACATGTTAGTAATTGGATTTTGAAATACTATTTTCACCTCGTATCCCCAAATAGATACCCCACATGTTAAATCACATCATCTAAAATTTGATCCCTGCCGTGCCTGGGTAGCTCAGTCAGTTAAGTGTCCGACTTGATTTTGGCTCAGGTCGTGATCTCCCGGGGTCCTGGGATCCAGCTGGCGTCACACTCCTCGCTTAGCAGAGATTCTCTCTCTCCATCTGCCCCTCCTCCTCCACTTGCATGCACAGGCTCTCTCTCTCTCTCTCTCTGTCTCAAATCTTTAAAAATAAAATAAAATTTGATCCCATAGTTTATTATATTTAATTGATAAACAAGGTCTACTCCCAAGAATGTAATTTTTGTGTCCTGCTTTTCAGAAGCCAGAGCCTCTCTTAGATTTGGGAACAGAATATATCTACAATAATGGTACAATTTTATATATATGAAAAAGCAGATTTTAGAAATTTTTTATTAGAAAGATATTTAAATAGAAAGATTAAATAGAAAGATATTTTGAAGTCTAACATTTTTCTTCTTTTTGAAGTCTAACATTTTTAAGTTGATTTTGATTAAGTTGATTTCTCTTTTAGAATTTAAAATATCATGAAAAATACTTTATAATAGTCTAATACTAATCAATACTCTGCAGTCAAGCCATTTGGAACTAACAATGTAAAAATAAATAATTTCCAATTTTTATCCTTAACAGTTTAAAAATGTTTCCTATTTTAATCATGTTACATAGTTTGCAAGGCATTTTGAATAATTGATTTCTTTCAGTCCTTATACTTCCACAAATTTTGTGGGTCTGGTGTCCTCATCTTAATTTTATTTAAAAACAGGAACAGAAAGAAGAAACATTTCAGATTCAGCCAATGAGAAAGTGACAGAATCAGGACTAGTTTCCAGTTGTTTTTCTACTGTGAAGAATGGCTTCACCATCCAGATCTATGCCATAAAATTACTTTGACATTTGGATATACATATGCCCAAATTTGTGGGAGAAATACCTATATAATTATTTTTCCCAAAGTATGTTACCACAATGTTTCTTCTCTAAGTAGAATATTGCTATGAAAAGTATTTTCCTCTCTATTTAATTAATTTTATTTTTCAAACCCTGTCACATTGGGGAATAGATTGCCCATATTGGGGAGATGAAGTTAAAGGCTGAGCTTACCACATAGAATCAGTGGTGAAGTCAAGATTAGAATTCATAGCTCAGTATTAGAACTCAGAGCTGAAAGAGCTACTAATCATTTCTACTTACATCCAGAACAAGAAAAAAAAAATCATAACTGGCAAATGTAATTCAACTTCACTCTAATAATGAGCAACTATGTAAACATAATAAAACTGCATAAAATTAACACATTTGATATTGCCTCTTTAAAATCTAAATATAAAAATGTTAAAATAAGAAAAACTGACCAAGGGAGACATTAAAATTACCCTAAATCCATTAAATCAAAACTTCTCGAGGTGGGTCCTGGACACTGGTAACTATAAACATCTCTCCAGGAGAATCTCATGTGCAGCCTTGGTTGGGAACCATAGGGAGAAAGCAGAGGTGAGGCAGACGGAACCGAAGCTGGGCACAGCCACTGGACGTGGTCCCACTGAGAGCCGAAGATGGCAGTGAACATATATTCAACATCAGTCACCAATGATAACCTCAGTCGACATGACATGCTGGCCTGGATCAATGAGTCTCTGCAGCTGAATCTGACGAAGATCAAAACAGTTGTATTCAGGGGCTGCCTACTGTCAGTTCATGGACATGCTGTTCCCTGGCTCCATTGCCTTGAAGAAAGTGAAATTCCAGGCTAAGATAGAACATGAATACATCCAGCACTTTTTGAGGTGAAGTGAAGTGAAGATACTACAAGCAGGTTTTAAGAAAATGGGTGTTGACAAAATAATTCCTGTGGACAAATGAGTAAATGGAAAGTTTCAGGACAATTTTGAATTAGTTTAGTGGTTCAAGAAGTTTTTTGATGCAAACTATGATGGAAAAGACTATGACCCTGTAGCTGCCAGACAAGGTCAAGAGACTGCGGTGGCTCCCTGTCTTGTTGCTCTGGCTCTGAACAAAGCGAAGAAACTTCTCAGCTCTAGCAGCACAGCCCCACAGAGGCCCATTGCAACACACAGAACCACTGCCACCCCTAAGTCTGGCCCGGGTGTGGTGCGAAAGAATCCTGGTGTGGGCAATGGGGATGACGAAGCAGCTGAACTGATGCAGCAGGTCAACGTACTGAAATTTACCGTCGAGGACTTGGAGAAAGAGATTTCTACTTTGGAAAGCTAAGGAACATTGAATTGATTTATCAGAGAACGAGAGGGAAAACAACCTGGTATTGCAGAGGATTGTGGACATTCTGTATGCCACAGGTGAAGGCTTTGTGATACCTGATGAAGGGGGCCCACAGGAGGAACAAGAAGAGTATTAACAGCCTGGGCCAGCAGAGCAACATCTGAATTCTTCACTCTAAATCATGTGCTTAACTGTAAAATATCCCCTTTTATTATTCTTAGAGGACTCACTGGTTTCTTTTCATGAGCAAACAGTACCATTTAAGTGCACTTTGCAGAAGTTTCACCCCTTTCCCAATGAGTTTGAGTTAGGAGCTTTTACCCTGTAGCAGAGCAGGATTAACATTTAGTTGGGTCACCTAGGGGACAAAGAGTCTGACCATGGGGGGCTCACCGTGTGGACGCTGGTAACACTGATTGCTGGAGAAGGTGTTTTTAGGTACACTGAGGTGGAGACCTCAGCAGAGAAATGTAAAGACTGATTTGAATTTTAAGCTAATGTGAAATCTTGGCAGAGAACATTTTAATAAATAAATTCCTTAAGAGTCAAAGAAAGCAGAGATGAGCAAACTTTTTCTGTAAGGGGCCAGATAGTAAATAACTGAGGCTTTGCTGGTCATACAGTCTCTATCCCAACAGCTCAAATCTGCCATTGTTAATGTGACAACAATCATAAGCAAATGTAAAACAATGAATGTGGCTGCATTTCAATACAACTGTATTTGTGACACTGAAATTGAAATTTTATATGTTAATTTGTCTAAAATAGTACTTCTTAAAAATTTTTTTTCAACTACTAAAAAAAGAAAACTGTTATTATGGAATATACTAAAATGGCTGGGTCATATTTGGCCTCCTGGCCATGGTTGCCAACTTCTATTCCCTAGAAATCCAATTAACCACTCACTCTGTGTTTGACTATATATACTCTAATTATGTATTTTATACTATTCTATTACATTCACTTGTCTTTATTCTCAGTGACCAGCATAATATGTAGAACTTGAAAGGTATAGCAAATAAATAAATAAATGAATGAGTGAATACATGAGCTATATCCATTCAACCAGAATTGCCCAAGAAATTATTTTGTGCCTTCTCAATCGATAAATGTTCATCATTTAAGTGGAGATTGTTGGCAGAATACCATTGTTTTTCACTTGACATATTTACTTGACAAATATGGTCTGTGTGGTTATAGGCATAGTCTTACAAACCAAGAGGAAAGCTATATTTACCTTTGCATGGTGTGGTCTTAGGACCTTTGTATTGTTTACAACTTTTCAGACAAATACGGTTTTCTTTTTAAAAATTATATAAACTTACATATCTGTGAACCTTTCTTAGTGGGGGCTTTTTTGCTGGGTGCCTTGCCTTTTGGCAATTATAAGTGCTACTGTTGCCTCTTTGTGTTTTCTGTGTTTAGCTAGAGAGATTGCAGGCTGAAAATATCTCAGAGTGGGACAAGAGGGAAATACTTGAAACAGAGAAACAAGGACTGGAAAAAGAAAATAGAAGGCTAAAGGCTCAGATGAAAGAAATGGAAGAGCTGCTGGATGGGAAAAACAGATTCAGTGCAAACTCTCAAAGTCCTGATTTCAAGACATCACAAATTGAACGGCAGGAAGAAAAAAAGGTATGGGTGCTCCTTGGAAGGGATGTTCTCACTATACATGCCCCCCTGATGCTTGGTCGGTGCTGCCTTCCCTTTTACCCACCTCCAAATCTGAGCATTTTCTTTTGTGCTATTTAACTTCTGACTGCTTGCTCTCTTTCTCATCATAAGGTAGAATAACATTGTTCATGAATATGAACACAAGAGTTTAACAAATTTTGTATGAAAATGTTAGAATAGGACAAATCTGACAGTTTCAAGCTTTTCCAAAATGAAGAAAAAAGTGAAGGAATGGACCTTTGTGTTTTTTGTTTCCTTTTATACTTTTGTCTCAGTATTTTTCAAGCAATTGATCTTATTTCTCAATAAGTAAATTTCTCCATTAGTTTGAACAGCTGTGGAATAAGCATTTGTCAGTAGTGATAATATCTGCATAAACATTTCAGTTTAGCTGAAGTTTACTCTCCTCTGGTCCTTTTTTTAGTTTCAGAAAAATTATTTTTGAGTCAAATCATTGCATCATGTTGCAAATAGCTTTTACAGGCTATAACATAAATATTAAAGCTAGAATTAAATTCAACATCTGACTTTGAGAACTTCAGATTTTTGGAATTGTTTTATTCTAAGGCCAATAGACATTCCTGCTATAGATGGAATTTTTAAAAATAAATAGCTTTTAGATTTAAAAAATAATCTCTTAATGGCAGTTGCAATTTGCGTGTTTTGGTGTCAACATGCTGCAAAACATTTACATCTTGTTTCTATTTCTTCCATTAAAGTACCTACAGTATCTTAATGCACAATTCTATTATTTCACGCAGTCTCTTTAACAGTGAATTAAAAGTGAGTTTGATAAGTTCATATTTTTATTTTATTTTTTTAAACCTTTAGCTAAAATATTTTATTTTTTTATTGTTATGTTAATCACCATACATCATTAATTTTTGATGTAGTGTTCCATGATTCATTGTTTGCATATAACACCCAGTGCTCCATTCAGTGCCCTCTTTAATACCCATCACCAGGCTAACCCATCCCCCCCCTCCCCTCTAGAACCCTCAGTTTGTTTCTCAGACTCCATCGTCTCTCATGGTTTGTCTCCCCCTCTGATTTCTCCCCCTTCATTCTTCCCCTCCTGCTATCTTCTTCTTCTTTTTTTAAACATATAATGTATTATTTGTTTCAGAGGTACAGATCTGTGATTCAACAGTCTTACACAATTTTTAGTTATATAAGTAGTTCATACTCATATGAGCTTAAAACCTAAATGTCCAGAAAAATTGAATTCCATATCACTTTTTCTTATTCTTTGGAATTCTAGGGATTAATTGCAAATGCCAGATTAAATTGCATTAGAATTCCATAACTTGGCAGCATAGATATCTAAAGTGAAATGTTATAGTCAGTAATCATAATTTTTATTATATGTATTCAGAAACCAACCATAATAGTGTATTTGGTTCTGACATATACAGCTGATAAATCTGTTTTTGTGCAGACTTCTAGTTGTGAAAGTATAGAATTATTTCAATCATGAAACAAGTTTTGATCATCAAAATACCTGCTTGCATTTGACTCACTTGAACAGAACAAGCCTTTATATAACACTCTGTGTCCATCACTGTTGTAGAAGCTGAGTGATGTGAAGATTAATGAATCATATCCCTGCCCAGCCTGGGCTTAAAGTCTATATAGGGAGATAAACACATAAATTATTATCAGTAGTATATCATAATGATTGCCAATAAAATAGAATGGGAATACAGAGGAAACAAGTCATTCTATTTCATTTTGATTCCTATCTAGTTACATCAAAATGTTATAATATAAAGTGTGTCAGTTAGGAAATATAAGGGTCGATTGGGAACTGTTTGGAACTGGCATATATGTCAGTTGGCATGTCCTGTCAACAGGGCACAGAGTCCAGACCTGGGCTCTTTGGGCAAGTGCAGTTCTTCAGCTAAGAAATAAACAGAACTTGGAAACTGAAGATTCTGGAAGGTCTGACCAAAAAAGTGGATGTGTTTATCAGCCAGAAAACTATTCCTTAAGTATATATTTTCTTGATGACCAGGAAGAGGTGTTGATGATTCTTATGCTCTTCATTAAGAATTCAGACTCACTACCTGAACCAAAATAATTACTTATCATAGAGCAGCTGCAGGTCAGAATCCTTGGTGCCACAGAGGTCCCCATCGGGATCAAGATTCAGATGTCCCCAAATGCCAAATGAACCAAGCTGCATATAAAACATGCCTAAGTCCAGAGAATACTGTGGATTTTATTATAACATGAAGTCAAATTGTAATTTTAACATTATTTTAATAAAAACTAATTTATATGTATATAAAAATATCCTATAGGAGTATCATGTGTACATAGGTATGTAATTACCATATAGAAGCAGTATATATCTATGTGAATATAATTTCTATATAGGAGTGACACTGGAAATAGGTGCTGACATGTGACAAAACAATAACCACTTAATTATCACTCTCTAAAAGAGGTGTAAAGTCTCTTATGTTATCTTTATATCTAATCACATTTAATAAGTGTCTGTGACAGACACAAAATTGCTATTCACAGAAATCTACAAATCAATAAATTGTGTTAATTTGTTGAATTTTAACATTCTCTGTTCAATGAATTTTTTTATAAATTCTTGCTTATACAATAGGGGAAGAATTTCACCTGTATATTTGAAATATATAGTGCTATATTTTGCATATATTTTTGCGTTTTTTTGGCTTTAGTATTATAGGGAATAAATTTTTAAAGAAAGTATCTTTTCATTTTAAATGGCACCATTGGGGCACGTGGTTGGCTCAGTTGGTTAAGCACCTACCTTTGGCTCAGGTCATAATCTCGGGGTCCTGGGATGGAGCCCCGCATCGGGCTGCCTGTGGAGTCTGCTTCTCTACCCGCACCTCCCCATCCCCGTGCACACACTCTCTCTCTCTCAAATAAATAAAATCTTTTAGAATAATAAAATAAGTTGTACTGTTAATTTAAAGACAAAGATTCTCCTTAACACGAATGATCTCATCACATGAATCTCCATCTTGTGGTTGTTTTTATGTCCTATGTTGAAGCTACATGTGCATCAAATCTTTTACAATTAAAAAAACCGAGCAGTACACCTGAACTCTTAATGAATAGACTGGAAAATTACTCATCAGTATGAACATCTGAGAGGTGGGGCCATGCCTACAAGAGACACAGAGAGAAGGAAGTATCAAGACAACTGGTAAATCATGTGATTAAGAAAAGAACATCTTTACCAGGGCTTGGTGAAAAGAAAAAGAAAAGGAAACTTTAAGGACTTCACGAATTCTAATCTCTTTCTGAGCTTTTGTTCCTTCTAGGAACTTTTAGGAGGACAGAGAAAAGAGGTGAGGAGAAGAGGAAAAGAGAAGACAAATGAGGGACAAAGAAGGGAAAAATGGTGTGTGCCCACTATAAAGTGAGAAGACATAGCAAAATAACCACCATGGGAACAAACACATATAAGCTGATACTTATCAAAATATGTCCTGATTTTGCTGTAATGGAGAAAAGTAGGATTGTAATTCCCAACCATTTTCCTAAGTATGATTCCTATCCTATAAATGCTCATTTACTTTATTTACTTTACCAAAGTGAGACAGATTTTTGTACTTGGAAAGCCTCAGTTCTGCTGATATGCAGTATATGTATTCTCCATTCCAAATAATACTTCTTAAAGTGAAAGGTTATTGGAAAAAGGGGTCAGTATTCTACTGGGTAAAGCCCCACGAGCTAGTCAGCATGCCTCTCATGAAGTTTTTTGGAGGCTTATTTTCTTAAATCATTCTGGCGACTGAATCCCTTCCTTCAGGTCACACTATGGGTCATTTTCAGAAAGTTAATGTGACAGAGTGGTAATTGATGTGTCTCAGGAAAATGATGAATTAATCTAAGAGTGGAAAGGCCATCAAAGTCAATTCCTAATGAATTGACTTTTCTGACAGTGTCCATTCCTTGAGTGGGAATGACATTATATTTATTTTGTTTAGTAACTTTACCCTCAGAGATATTTTCATTCAGAGGTTTCGCAAGCAAACCTATGGATTTGTTAACTTTTCCTCATTCACATTTCTCTTTCAAAATATTTGCTCATAAAATTATTGAATAATTTAAGAAAAATAATATCTATTCTTAAACTGTTATAAAATAGTAATAATTTAAATATGGAATAACATAATTTGATGTTATTAGATAGGGTGCTTTCATGTTTTTCTTTAACTGTTCTTACATAGCTTTGCTTCCTGAGCTATAATAGAAATTTTAATTTTCAATATGGTGATCAGTAAAACTGTGTATTACGGTAGAGAATTTTGGATATATGGCAGTTTTTAACCCTTTCATATGTGGAATATATTTTGTGTATAAAAATTAAAATAATTCATTTTGAAGAATGCCCTCTTTGTAGCAAAACACTAAGCTACACGTGGGTGTCTTTTATGAATTGATAATTTAGTTATTTCATAAAACTTAGAAATGCATCCATGATTTTGTATACAATTTAACAAAAGTCCATGGGATTGTGTGGGTTGAGCAGAACAGTGTTCTTTTCCCCAAGAATTTCTGAAGTTACCAGAGATAGACTCTTAAGTACTGTTTATGAATGTCATAAGGAGGTATCTACTGAAAGTTCCTACTGGATTGAAATAAATCAGTTTACTACACAATAGGGTGACATTTTCTCTAATATGACTGCCCTCACTCATCCTTAAATACACGCATGCTGCACACAAACACACATACGCATGCATACAACAAATTGATTTTTATAAATAAACTCTAAAATAGGGGTTTTATTTTTTCTTTCTGTTTTGTGATTCTCCACTGGAGAATAGGTACACAAGTAAGATTTTATATATATGAAGCCTCGTTTCTAGGAATATATTATCACTGGGTGGGATTTCACTTTTTCTTATAAAACACAAATGTTGTCATAGCTTATTATTATTATTTTTTAAAGATTTTATTTATTTGAC